AAGATCGAGAAGAACCTAAGCTGGGAGCCAACATCGTTTGAATTGAGAAGTCGATGGCTGGCTCAAGCGAATTGCTTTTGCCCTAACAGATCAAATATACCATCTTTAAAGACATAGAATCCAATCTAGAAAAGCAGTCATGACGTCTAAAGTACAGTCACCTTCTTGAGGTAGTAAGTCTCGCCAGTCCTCCCCTCATAGCACGCCGATAACAAGTAGATATCATTCAATATAAACTATGTTTGTGGATTTACATATAAATAAATTTGAAAAAGAGTACAGCATGCACAAATCCATCGCTAATGGGGATCTGTTAAACATACAAGACTCTAAACTTTGCCGCATAAGCCGAGATAATAACCTGAGTCAAGCTTGAGTCGAAATTCAATTTAGAAACTCGTAAATACTCACATTTGAGCCAGAGACCGACCAGGCGTAACCTGACCCGTTGGCATCCCTGATATAAACCCTATTTAGCGTGTCTCTGGAAAGGGGGATGAGATTCAATGAAGTAATAGTACAAGAAAACACTACTTACCCAGGGACTGCCTCAAAGAACCATTTATAACCGGATGTTGCATATACGACTGCCTGCCCTGGCTGAGATAAACCATTGTTCGGAGCGGTGTAGTAACCAGAATATGCCGATTGGATATAGTTTCCTGCTTGGGTGAACTATATAGATGAAGATGTCAGAAATTATATGCAGCCAGCAGCCCGAACTGACCACTTGGGAATGGTTTGCGGAATCTGGGGCGCTCATCGTGAGTCCACTTCCAGCAGCAAGTCTACCCGTCACCGCAAAGGTGACATTATTATTGATGAAATCGATACGAAAGTTCCCAGCGCGGGGTTTAAGTCGACGGGAAGAGGTGCTCATTGTATCGTGATTCGCCTGACCGGGATGAAGGGTTCTGATGACGCCAGTGAGGGCTCCTTCATCGTTTATATAGGCGATTCGAAGTGGATTCCGAGGATGAGTCGCGATAAAAATAGAACTCTGACCTGAAATGGGCGCGGGAAAGGGCGATACAAGGTGCTCCGGGCAGGGTAGATTACCTTGGTACTCAGGGTGTTTGTATATTCATTCCAAAATGTTGAAAGTGTCTCCTCAAGACCCTAGAGTTCATGGGACAACTTGCTTCCTTGAAAGCCAGCATTTGCGAACTAGAAAGCTCGAACAACAACTTTGACCGAGGCCTGCTGAGTGTTAAGGCTGTTAAATTATCTTGAAAAACTCACTTTGAGCTATATTTGTTTAGTGGCCACCAAGAGAAGCGTTCTCAGGTAATAAAGTTGACATAAGAGGGTTGGTTGATTTGGGTCTAGACGTACCGTCTGAATAAAAGTTCGGTCGGCATACATGTCCCGTGATTCAATGGTTGTTGATGCGCAAGAGGAGCAACAGGAATTACGAGGGCAGGGGTGTACAGGAATCAGGGGGACGGGCAGTCGCTGCCAGCATTAGGCACAGATGATGTTAGCAGAGATTGATTATAAGGATGGATAGGCCTAAGTTCAAGTGACCTCTTTCGAGGGGGGTGATCCATTGGCAATGATATCTACACATTTTATAACGCCAACGTCCACTTCCGGAGCATCCCTATGATCTGACACCAGAGATTGAGCTAGTCGGATCCCATCAGGTAGTCATCTTCCAGCTTGATTTCGACCAGACCACGTCTCGGAGCTGGGTGCCAAATTCCTATGGCCGCTCCGGTTGTTTCATTCGTTATGACCCATGGGTGAGTAACATAGGTGATCATCTCTTTCGTATCTCCATTCGGTCCAACAGTACCATAGGATACGCGTTTCCCTTCGAAATCTCTCCACCACAATTGGAGAGTTACCAGAGTAATATAGAGATATGACAGCAAACACTGCCAACTAACTGAGAATATGAGGGAGCAAGTGGAGCAAATTATGGCCATGTAGTACCGGCGGGCCGTACAAGGCCAATGCCGCCTTGAATTCCTCTGATACGCTCTTTCTTCCTCGTATTAGTGAGGAGGTTAGTCTCAAGGATAAAGATCGAGAAGAACCTAAGCTGGGAGCCAACATCGTTTGAATTGAGAAGTCGATGGCTGGCTCAAGCGAATTGCTTCTGACCGTTTTCCAGCCTTTATGTCTACATCCTATCCATGCAGATAATGAGCCCGCGACGCGCTCCATCCATTCCAATATTCAAACTCGTGTTACTTTCATCAATAGACTTCCTGACCATGTACAATTGTGGTGGAGAGATTTCGAAGGGAAACGCGTATCCTATGGTACTGTTGGACCGAATGGAGATACGAAAGAGATGATCACCTATGTTACTCACCCATGGGTCATAACGAATGAAACAACCGGAGCGGCCATAGGAATTTGGCACCCAGCTCCGAGACGTGGTCTGGTCGAAATCAAGCTGGAAGATGACTACCTGATGGGATCCGACTAGCTCAATCTCTGGTGTCAGATCATAGGGATGCTCCGGAAGTGGACGTTGGCGTTATAAAATGTGTAGATATCATTGCCAATGGATCACCCCCCTCGAAAGAGGTCACTTGAACTTAGGCCTATCCATCCTTATAATCAATCTCTGCTAACATCATCTGTGCCTAATGCTGGCAGCGACTGCCCGTCCCCCTGATTCCTGTACACCCCTGCCCTCGTAATTCCTGTTGCTCCTCTTGCGCATCAACAACCATTGAATCACGGGACATGTATGCCGACCGAACTTTTATTCAGACGGTACGTCTAGACCCAAATCAACCAACCCTCTTATGTCAACTTTATTACCTGAGAACGCTTCTCTTGGTGGCCACTAAACAAATATAGCTCAAAGTGAGTTTTTCAAGATAATTTAACAGCCTTAACACTCAGCAGGCCTCGGTCAAAGTTGTTGTTCGAGCTTTCTAGTTCGCAAATGCTGGCTTTCAAGGAAGCAAGTTGTCCCATGAACTCTAGGGTCTTGAGGAGACACTTTCAACATTTTGGAATGAATATACAAACACCCTGAGTACCAAGGTAATCTACCCTGCCCGGAGCACCTTGTATCGCCCTTTCCCGCGCCCATTTCAGGTCAGAGTTCTATTTTTATCGCGACTCATCCTCGGAATCCACTTCGAATCGCCTATATAAACGATGAAGGAGCCCTCACTGGCGTCATCAGAACCCTTCATCCCGGTCAGGCGAATCACGATACAATGAGCACCTCTTCCCGTCGACTTAAACCCCGCGCTGGGAACTTTCGTATCGATTTCATCAATAATAATGTCACCTTTGCGGTGACGGGTAGACTTGCTGCTGGAAGTGGACTCACGATGAGCGCCCCAGATTCCGCAAACCATTCCCAAGTGGTCAGTTCGGGCTGCTGGCTGCATATAATTTCTGACATCTTCATCTATATAGTTCACCCAAGCAGGAAACTATATCCAATCGGCATATTCTGGTTACTACACCGCTCCGAACAATGGTTTATCTCAGCCAGGGCAGGCAGTCGTATATGCAACATCCGGTTATAAATGGTTCTTTGAGGCAGTCCCTGGGTAAGTAGTGTTTTCTTGTACTATTACTTCATTGAATCTCATCCCCCTTTCCAGAGACACGCTAAATAGGGTTTATATCAGGGATGCCAACGGGTCAGGTTACGCCTGGTCGGTCTCTGGCTCAAATGTGAGTATTTACGAGTTTCTAAATTGAATTTCGACTCAAGCTTGACTCAGGTTATTATCTCGGCTTATGCGGCAAAGTTTAGAGTCTTGTATGTTTAACAGATCCCCATTAGCGATGGATTTGTGCATGCTGTACTCTTTTTCAAATTTATTTATATGTAAATCCACAAACATAGTTTATATTGAATGATATCTACTTGTTATCGGCGTGCTATGAGGGGAGGACTGGCGAGACTTACTACCTCAAGAAGGTGACTGTACTTTAGACGTCATGACTGCTTTTCTAGATTGGATTCTATGTCTTTAAAGATGGTATATTTGATCTGTTAGGGCAAAAGCAATTCGCTTGAGCCAGCCATCGACTTCTCAATTCAAACGATGTTGGCTCCCAGCTTAGGTTCTTCTCGATCTT